CGGTTATACAGGCTACGACGCTACTGACAGCATTTTGACGGATTTCCTACCAAGAAATGTCATGCGCGAAAAAATGCGCAGATGTGAAAAAAGAGGATGTGTTATTGCTGGTTGTTTTATTTGCCGTGATTCGACCGCGGTTGGCATCAGCTTCATAGTCGGCTTCTCAAATCGACGAGTACGTACTGATTATGAGATTCGAGTAGTGACCGATTATCATCCGAATTCTTTTTTAATAATCGGAAGGTTTCGATTATTTCAATAATCGGATGATCGATTATTTTTCATTCGAATGATCCCATCACTACCCATCACTAACCAACACCAACTCTGACATCTAACTATACCAACCTAATAGCTAATGAGTAACAAATTTGTAAATAAGAGCTAAAAAAAAGTAAACAAATAATAAAGTTTATCTTTTAAAAACTATGGTGAGATTGCATAGAGTTAATAATTGAAAATGAGTATAACAAGTATATCACAAGTTGCAACTCTTTTAAGACCTGTAAGCAATGAAGTTTTCAAGGGGAAAGGAAAATTATGTTTGTCTACTAATTACTTATATAAATTAAATAATGCTTTTGAAGCAAATATTACTGAAGAAACCAGTTTATCTTTCCATATAGTTCAAACAAGTAATTCAAAAACTAATTATATCAGAGACTTGCAGTTTTTGTTGGATCTTGTACAGAGAACAGTGAGTTTAAAAGTTGTTCCAGATGTTACAGATGAGTTTAGCAATGTGGATATTACTAGATTTAAAAACATAAAGGTCCTAGAGATACAAAAGGTCGATATAATGTCTATAACTGGCTTACAGAAAATAAGACCTCAACTACAAGAATTGACTTGCTGCCACAGCATAAATTCTTTAACCGATGTCTTGGATAAATGTGGAAGTGATAATAGCCAACGTTATAATTGGAACGAATTAAAGAGAGCAAATTTTTGTCATAATAATATTGTAGAACTAGATGATAGTTTAGATTGTATGATAATGCTGCAATCGCTGGACCTAAGTCACAATCAGATTAATAAAGTGGATTTTTTAAACCAGTTGCCAAATTTGAAATACTTAAACATTTCTTACAATAAACTTGATAAGGTTCCAAGATTTAAAGGACAAATTTGCAGTCGACTACAGGTAACTATGTAGTTTATAAATCGTTTTATATGTAAACATACCCATATAAAATAATTTTGAATTTTCAATTAAGTAAAACGATAGGTTTTTTTTATCAAAACAGTATTGTTAAGTATAATTTTTCTTTTATAGGTTTTCATACTTAAAAATAACTTTATTGAAGACCTAAGTGGATTAACAACTTTATCTAATATTGTACAGTTGGACCTTAGCCATAATTGTTTATTAGAGCATAAAAGACTGTTTTCTGTTTCTCATCTTATATCTCTCCAATGGTTAAATATTCAGGGAAACCCGATCAGTTTCCACCCACAGCATCGTAACCTAACTTGCAATTATTTGAATAAAAATAGTTCTACACTAAAATTTGTACTCGATAATATCCCATTAAACAAAATAGAGAAGAGCCTCACTGGGTCACTGTACCCAATTTTCCAAACATCATATTTATCCATATCTTCTAATTCTTCAGACGAATCAACCAGTGATTCTTTCCAAGAACGAACAAGGAAAATACGAAATGTTACAATTGAGGACGATAATACAGTAAAGCAAGAAATTCCCATTGCTGCTACGCCAACAACATCATTTCAACATTTAGAATTAAAAAAACAGGTAGAACAGTTAAGGGAAGAATATGGAGAGTCTTGGTTATATCGTCATTCTGGCATGTTAGTACAAGATGCACTGGGATTTGAAAAGAGTTCAGTTGTTTCATCAACCCCATATGAGTCTGCTATGGATACTTTGTATATAGAGAATCAAAGTAAAAGAGAAGTTACTGCTGATTCTGCAGAATTCGTGACGGCCGATTCAAAATTAAATCAGGCAACAACAACCGAAGATGGTTTTCAAACAGCTGACGGTGATTCTACCATATTTAGTAATACAATACAAGCACAAGAAGACAATACATCTGATGTCTCTGATGGCGAAGATATTTGTTCTGGAGGGGAAGAATGTATCTATTTGGTAATCAATATTAACGAATCCGATCAGGTTTTTGTAGTCGTCACAGAAACACACATATCTGAGAGAGATGTAACTACAAGCAAAGAAAAAGCAAGGTGGCATATTAATACTATTAGTTCGTGTGAAAAAATGGAAGACAATCAGAACTTAATAAAGATTGAATTTGACACATTAAGGCGGGACCGTAAACAAAGAATTTATGAATTAGATCCAGATGAATGTGAAAATTTTTATACTTCAATTCAGGAGAAAATTGCCAAGGCTGATAAGTCAGTTGAAAAGAAAATAATGTATCAATGCATGAAATGTTTAGAATTGTTTCCAGAACAGAACAAAAATGCACTGCTAGAAGGACCTTCGGTCACATGTCCCAAATGTAAAAGTAACTTAGTTGTTGAGAATATTTAACTAACATAAAATATTATTTTATATGACTTATTATTGGCAAGATTTATGAGACTATAATACTTATGCAAAAGTGTATTTGTTACATGAGATTTTTAGTATATTTTAAAAGTTTGTAAGATATAGGAAGTGTTTACATCTTTTGGATAATTTTTGTTATGCAATGAAACTAGAAAATGTGAAAACTATTGCTGATTATGTTGTTTACTAAGATCATGAAGGGACGGCATATACAAGTACATTTTTTTTTATAGGTGTTGGTGATGCACTGACTAAATATTGGCTGTGATTTATCCCACGAAAATATATTTCTTCTTTAAATATGTACAATTTAAGAAAGATCATTTAGCATTTAATTTGCATTAAACATTTATTGTATGAAAAGTGTGTGACATAGTATGAACTAATATAAAAGAAAATAGAAAAGAATAATTAAACATTAGACTTTATACTATTAAAAATTCATATGATTATGTTAATGAATATATAAATTTGTTGAAATATTTTGCAAACAAATGTTATTTTTACTGTTAATGATTTTATTTTCCTTACTATTTATATGGCTTTTTTTTTGAGATACCCCATTTTATATACAAAACCTTCATAAATTATTACAAGCTACACCACCACTAATTTTCTTTGGAACAGTAATTTTATTTCCTCCATTTGGCAATTAAATTTCAGTAAAATTAAAACAATAAGATTAAGATTTAAAACACAACATTCTGTTTCACTGGTTGTATTTGGTGTAATTTTTCAAGAGATTCTATTCAACCAATTGCATTATCTTGAGTGTAGACATAACGGTTTGCCGTGGTTCATTGCAACAAATATTGGTGATGAATAAATTCAGTATTTGAATTATTGTGTATATTTATAAAAAATCCCGAGACACGTTGATATTGGATTCTAATACGACATCTGCAACGTAAAATTTTCATCCCTAAATCAACCCTCTTCGAGCGGCAGTTGCAACTCCTCAATTTTTAAATGGGAAGTAGAAGCTTGTGATACCTCATTTGAAAGGTCATTTTATGCTCTAGTAAAAAATGCTGTGGTTTTCATAGTTATCGCAAAAATTAGCATTAAGAAAATAAATTCATCTGCTTGACGAAATTTGCTACAGCAAAATAAAAAAACTTAATTTCAACGTTTTTGTTTTTGTTTGTTTTAACGAATTTCGTCAAGCAGACTTAATTTTTACAATAAATATGAAATCCATAGCATTTTTAAATAATGAAAAGACCTTTCAAATGATGTATCACAAGCTCCTACTTCCCATTTAAAAATTTAGGGGCTGCAACTTTTTAGGATGAAATTTTTACGTTACAGGATGTCATTTCAGAATCCAAAATCGACGCGTCCCGGGATTTTATATAAATATGCACAATTATTGACACTAAATTTATTCCATTTGGCTGTTCCACATTATTTAAAAAATGAAATTTCTTAATGTCAAATTTAACAAATAAAATAAAAAATAAAGGGGTATACCATATATAGGGTGTTCTGAAACTCCATCAGGAAACTCCGGGAGGTGATTCTATGGATTAAAATAATAGCAGTATGTAATGAAAATTTATAATTTTTTTAAATACCGTCTCTTGTAAAACCAGCTTCGTTAGTAAATAAAATATTATTAGTAAATTCATTATCCTCAGCTTATTTTTCCACGTTATTACAGAGCTGAAAAAAAAAAATATTTTGATGAAAAATCAAACATACCTGCTTTAAATAATTTTTGTTACAATTCGTAACACCAAAATTACTAATGATATTTATTTGAAGCATGGTAACCTGATTAATTATTACAGAATTATCAAAAATTTGATGTTTAATAACACATTAATAGCGATTTCCTGGTAAACGGTTACATTTATCGGCTTGAACAGAGTACATATTTTTTTTTGATATTGTTTCTCTTTTCAATAATGTTTAAATTTCTATGTCTTGCAAGAGAAAAAAGTTATGGACCAAACAAATTTTGGGTTCTAGGTAAAGTGCCCTCTAGCGGCACATAATGCAACTTTTCTCCGACTGGTCCAATAGAGCTTCATCTACTTAGTGGGTGTGCCAAATGAGAGACTAATCGAACATGAGTTAAATAAGTTATATAAATAGAAAAATACTTAAAAAAAAATTTAACTTTGACAAGCTGTAACTTGCAAACAATTGAATCAAAAAAAATTTTCAGTTTCAGAACACCCTGTATCAATTTGTAATTTTAACTTAGAAATATGAAACGTACTGCATTTTTAAGAAATTATTTGTTAGCATTCTTGAGATAAATATATGTTTTCTGTATCTCTGTGATTATATTTTACATACCTTTATTATTGGTTAATTACCAGAATTACTGGTTTTGTCGATATTAAACGTATTCAAAACTATATTCTACAATTAAATAAAAATCGAAATAACTCGAATCTATTTGGCTAATAAAAAGCTGTTCAATCACACAAATAATTTATTAACTAAATAAAATATAGTACATAGTACATTAAATTTGAAAATATAATTTAAGTCTAATAAAATACCATCTCGATTACTTTAGAGTTTACTATCACTTCTACATTTACAATTGTAATAAAATAAAGGACACTTCATTCAAATTAGTTATGTAAGAGAAACAGTAATTTTTCTCACAAAATATTTTTATTCAAATGAGTTTTAGTGTTCAAATCATTCAAGAATAAAATATGAGAAAAATTACAATGGTATATTTTTTATCTTTATCGATTATATTCTATTTCACCCTTAATTCTTACAATAATATTTGGGTACAAATATAAATTATGAATCATATTCATTTTAGCAAATGAAGTGATGAAGCTCGTTATTTGAATCAATATTTATTAGTGACGATTTTCAATCGATACTAATCAATAAAACAAAATTCAATCAATGAATTTATACATTTATTTCAAATAAAATATAGATCCAATAATACTAATTTAAATTTACTACAATTAACCATATAAAAAACTATTTAAATTATAACTAAATTAGGTACTGTCATTAACTAATTTTAATAAAATAACCACAAAATCCTCAATAAATAACCGGCTCTCGTATAGTTAACTTGTTCCTCTACAATCTGGCAAAGAAAAATGAACACCCTAGTGTGCATCGTTTATCCCCTACTCAGGATAATGAACACAGGTTTTTATTACACCAAATTTTAAAGTCATGAAAGGCTTTAGGTAATACGTAATAAATAATATTTATGCAACTTCCAAATGTTTGCTTTAAAACTAATTTTATTTTCTAACAAAAGGCGGATTTATTTCATCGAAGAATCTTAGGTCAGCTAATTTCAGACTTAAGGTTTATCGAAATCCGATGTTTTTAAAATGAAAAAAGGAACTCCTTTTGGTAGATAAACATCTTTAGCAATTATTTCCTGAGTTTCTAGTGATAAATACTTGATATATTAAAGAAGCACATTACAGCCTGAATATCCTATGGGGTATTACATAAACGGTTATTTACTGAAGACTGAAAGATAAAATTAATTACAACAAATCTTCGTAAAAACTGAACAAGTATAATATATTTTGTGTCTTTACACAGCACATTTGTGTTGCTACAAAAATATGGACACTTGAGACACAATTACTGTTATTCCATTGCATATCAACAACTTTTCGAAAGGATAAAGATATGTCCGTTTTGAATATACTTAAAAATCACCCTTTCATCTTCATCCCGAACAGTTATCAATGTGCCAAAGATATAACTATGAATATTATAATATACAATAGACAAGAATTGCAATCTTTTTAAAGCTGATTATTATTTATTGTACTTTCTACCTCGATTATTTAAACAGTAGAGGCATTCAAAATCAGAATTGCAGTGCATTAAGTAAGCTACAGTTTGAAAAATAGGGAGGGGGAGGGGCAAATTTAGACACAACCAGTCTCCTGATGTATAACTCCAAAAATGTTTTTTACATTCTGAGTTTTTAAACAATAACAGCTTATAGAAGTAAACGACTTGAGGGGGCAACAATTATAATGAATATTGTTATTATTCCACCTTCTATACACATGACACAATGTTAAAGAATTAAAACAAATAAGTAAAGGATTAGTTTCAACAAACAACCAAATTAAAATGTTCAAATGAATAAACTTCGAATAGATTAAAAAATGAGATGAATGAATATACTGTTTTCAATCGACTACTCTGGAGTGCTTGTAGGCTACTAAAAAAAAATGTGGTTGAGCTGCCTTAGAACCGAATGCCATGTTCGGAGAATTGTTCTAGAGTAATCGCAAATTACTCCGTTGTGTTCCTACAGTTAAAGGAGTAGTGTAGATGAAAACAACAGCATAACCTCACATCCGACGTATTACATGTTAAAAAAAAATTGTGACGGCAGTCACTTAAAAATTACCAAAATGATATTTAGAGAATATTTAAAATGACCAAGTTTTCCTTATATTTCAACAATTTCATTAAAATCATTATTTACAGGTGTAGACATTTCATTTCATGTGGAATTATTTTAAAATGTTCTAAATAATGGTACGTAAGACATACAACCAGAATGGAAGGCAGTTATAAAGTGCAGAAACAATTTAGAAACGTACAAGCATAACAATGACCTATTCAAATAATTTTTTAATTTTGAAAGCGAGAAATAAATAACCAAAAGTGCCCCCGAATATATTCCCCGGCAAGTTACAGATTTCTAAGTGACATCATTTATCCATCACTAAAAAAAATTGGATATTTTACACTCAAGTGATAGCGAAATTGAGGATTTTCTGCAACATTATTGGCAGATCATCCATAATAAAATGAACGAACTTTATGGAAGACACTTTCAATGATACAAGTGGATTTGTTAACTGAAAATTTTATACTGATTTTTTTTTTCTAAAGTTCAAGTTTAACCCTTTCACTGCTCCAGACGAGTTTATTCCCTAAAAATTTATAGGACTCAAACTGCTCCAGACGAATTAATTCGCTTGAATAGTTAAATTGGATTAGGCCGCACAACCCGTATAAATTCCCAACCATGCGCATTAGTGACTCGGTTGTTGTAATTGGTATTGTGGCAATTATTTTTATGGAAGGAATGCCAAGATTGTTCATCTCTTTTTCAGTTTCTATTTAGTACGGCTGTCGATATATTGTAAAATAAAATCGTAAAAATATCTAGAAAACTGACAGACAAAGAACTGGAAGGAATTTTAGCGAGGAGCGATAGTGGCAACAAGTTTGAGATTGAGGAGCGTAGTGATGGATGCTTTATAATAAAATATTAATAACTATCACAATTATTTTGAAACATTTAAACATATTTTAATTCAATTTAACACATAATGTAAAAATATAAGTAGTCTAACTGTTCCAGACTACTCGCAGAGTATACTCTCACGCGATAAACTTTCGCGCACAGCGCGGTACCTACTTTCAGACGTATTGCGTAGCGAAAGGGTTAAGACACATGTCAAAATTAGTAACAAATACTATAAAATAAGTTGAAAGCAAATTAGGTTAAGTTTATGTTAGAAGTTACATTAGATTAAAAAAAATGTTTGCCTACGATTTTGATTAATTGAAAGTAATGTGAAAAATTACTCTTAATCGCTCTGGGAACAGTGCAGTCGAAAATGGTATTAATTAGTTTGTGATTTCTTATAAAAAATATATTTTTATTTGAATCAAAATATTGTTATTTTGGGTCAAACGATGAAATATTTCTTGGAAATATAGTGTATTCCAATTGATGTGTATAAAAGTAAAAACAAATTAAGTTGAAGATATTTTTTATTAAATAAACTTAAAAACACTCATGTTTGGAATCTTGTTACAATTTGCTTCAGATGCAATTTTTTGAAAAATTGTATTGAATTTTTTTTCTGAAATCTAATAATATACAGTATGTCGGAAAAATAACGGAACTTTTTATATTTAAAGAAAACTACTAACGCTATCTATTGAAATAATATATAAACTGAAAGCTGTATATCTCCTCTACAAAACGATACTGCTATCATTAGAATCGCTCGATGGGTTGTCAAGTTATAGCGCTTAAAGTGACAGTACCTTTTGTCAAAAATACGATGGACCAAAGGGTTAATATTAAATTTTGTTTCAAGCTCGGTAAAACTTTTACAGAAAGTTTATGGTGATGATGGCTTATCCTGTACATGTGTGTTTGAGTGGTATAAGTGATTCCAGGGCGGTTGTGATGCTTTGAAAGACGACCCAAAGTCAGACCCTCCGAAAAAACAAATATTGCAATGAATTGGTAGAAAAAGTGCGTGAAATGTTCCCCTACGATACAAAATCGCCTGTGAGATGGATAACAGGAATTAAATACGACCAAAGATATGATTCATAAAATTTTGAAAAAGGATTAAAAGAAACGAAAAGTCTGTGCTCGGTTTGTTCCTCATGCCTGGAAGTTGGTTTTTGTTGAACGATAATACATCATCTCACAGAATTGTAGCTGTACGTGAATTTTTGATGAAAAAAAAAGTCTGTGTGTTTCAACATCATCTATATTCGCCTGATTTATCTCCGTGTGACTATTTCCTGTTCCCGAAACTCAACACGAAAAGAATACTTATGACAATGTTAATTTTGGTAAAATAACCAATTGTTTTTTTTTTTAATTTAAAAAGTTCCATTATTTTCCCAACATACTGTGTATGATAACATTCTACAAAATTTGGCTTGGATTAATTGTGTATATTGTTTTTGCAAATTGCCCATTTTTTGGTGTCAATTTTGAAAAAATTTAATGAATAGCAACAAATACTAAAGTACATAATTAGTAAAATGCATATAAAATAAAAAAATTATGAATTATGGAAATTAGTACAGGGATATTGTTATTGGTGTAGAAAGTTGTATTAAATTTTGGATAAAAAATTGCTGAATTGCTGTTCTGAAAAAGTTATAGTTTTCAAATATGTATATTTTCAGGGTCCACTTAAAAAAAAACATTTGACTCATGTTAATGGTCTGTACACTTATAAATTGAGATACTACCCTGTACAATGTCTGGAAAATCCTTTAAAAAAACCTCGACAGTTAGTGCTACTACTTAAAAAATGGAAAAAGTTTATCCTAAAATTCATAGAAAATCGAGGATATCTCATTAGATTATTCTGTTTGCATAAAAATATGAAAAAATGAGCTTCAAAGAGACTGTTAAATCAATTAATTTAATTAAAGCCAGCAGAATCACCACAAAACACTTAAATGAGCATTTATTTATTAGAAAGCATTTTTGGGGCCATGTTTTCCAGAATCCCTTTTTTAATTTTTTAAATAGAATCATTAACTATTAAAATTTGTTGCTCTATTTTTAAACATATAAAAATATTATAAAATTTTAATGGGAAATTAAGAAATTAATGCCATGCATTCATATACAGGGTGTCCCAAAATTAATGCGACAAAATTTGATCACAGATTTTTAAGACAAATTTAGGGGACCCGTATTATTTGTTTTTGCCAAGTGGCCCCTTCTTTCGGAGATACAGCCCCCTGAAGTCCGCCCCTAAGATAATCTGTTTTTATATCTCAGAACCCTGTTGTACGAGAATCACTAAATCTGGTACACAGGGGTTTTATGACATGTGGAATCTGAGGGTGCTACATTTTTTGGTGGGGAACCCCCTTAAGATAATTTTTCGCAGTCCCCCTTGTCTTTGGAGCCAAAAAAATTTGGTTGCATCTTTAAATTTCTTAAAAATTATCAGTCCTCTAGAAAGCCATTAAATTTAGAAACTTTTTGTCTCTTTATACGTTTTTTATAAAACGCAATGTTTTCGAGAAAAATGTCAAAATGTGATTGAATGCATATCGTGATTCGCCATTTTCCTCAAAAACATCGCGTTTTACGAAACAAATATCAAGAGACCAAAAAGTTTCTAAATTCAATGGCTTTCTAGCTAATAATTTTTGAAAAAATCAAATTTGCAACCAAATTTTTCTGGTTCCAAAGACAAGGGGGTTCACGAAAAAGTGTCGTAAGGGAGTTTCTCGCCAAAAAGCGTAGCACTGTGAGATTCCACGTCATAAAACCCCTGTGTACCAAATTTAGTAATTCTCGTACAACATGGACTTCTTAGGGGCAGATTTCAGGGGGTTATAACTCCGAAAGAGGGGGCAAAAGATACGGGTCCCCTAAATTTGTCTTAAGAATCCATCACCAAATTTTGTTGCATGAATTTTGGGACACCCTGTATAAAAATTAAGCATTTTAAAATTTTGATTACAGATATTTGAAATAAGTTTTTTGTTGAGGTGTTAGTCTGGGACCTTTCAAAAAATTGATTTTCTAAATATTGTTGTAATAAGTTGCATTATTTAGATGGAAGAATTGAACGAGATTAGGGATGCGCTGAGCCACCTAGAACGTAAAACGTGCAGTTGCCGTTTACCTGCTTTTCAGTCCCTTTTTCGCAATCTCGGGTGATTAGAAGACCATACTTTTGAAGAACTTGAAGGTGTAATATATATAGCAGGCATCACTAATTGACAATTTTTTTTGAAAAAACCGGTATATTTTAGAGAAAAAAACCTTAACCGCACTTTTCTCGGAACGGTTTTTGGCCTGGCCGACATTCTGGAAAAAAACTATTGCACCGATTAAGCTCAAATTTAGATGGGTTATTCTATTTCATATAGGTTTGAAGCGGCATTATAATTATTCATTAATATTTAATACTATTCTGAAACAATTAATTTGAAAAATAAAGGTTGAAACTTTCAAAGGTTCAAACTTTCTGCCGTCTGGATGATAGCGACAAGTCTAATTTTATTTAATTGGGTAAGATCACACCAAAGAGAAAAAAATTTGTACATGTATTTTTACCTGTAAAAGACTGTCATTTAAAAATAATTTTACTATCCAAAAGAATTCTTGAAAGATGTCATCGAGATCTCAGACATTGATCCACTAAAATGATATATTTTACAAAAAAATGTATTGTCGATAAATTTGATTGCAGTTTGTCCGTTAGCCTTTACAGTATGTTACAATATAAGATGAATTGTTTGAAATGTCCTACCTTTTTTCTGAACAATCACTTCTCCAAGAAGTCAACTCGAGAAATATCCGTTGTTACATCTATAAGCGATTAATGTTTAATTATTCTTACTTCGACTCCTACAAAACTTACTATACTATCTCAAACTGGTTTGCTACACATCAACTACGAATATGAAGCATATTAGTGTATGCCCTTAATGTTGATTAAAAATGTCTATAAAAGGTTCCTGTAGCCTTCGGATGCTTAAACTTTAGCACGTTTACTACGAATCTTAGAAAGTCGGCGTGTCTTTTTTGTTGCGACATCTTCTTTTGGTTCCTCGGATTTCCGTTTAACATTCTTCACCGGTCCAACTGACGTGCTCGGCTGTTCCGTAGCAGATTTCTTATCTTTGCTTGAGTTACTTTCACTTTTCACTTCTTCCTCCACTGGATTCGGAGTTTCTAGATTTGCGCCCATAAACGGGGCCAATTCCGAAAGTGGTTCTAAACCCAATCCTTCTGGGTTGACGCCTTGATTCATGAGTGCCTGTAATTCATCCGGTTGTGGCAGCATTGCGTTCCCACAGTGGTTACAAAATGGAGGGGTCGCCGGAGACTTGCATCTCCAGTATTGCAGCTCTGTTTTGCACTTATTTAACTCCTGCAGTAGAGTACTGAATTTCCGTGAAATCTCCTCATTTTTCTTATCGTACTCATCCAGACGAGTCGCATACTCTAAGGTTTGTTTCTGTTGGTCGGCGAGCTGCTTTTGTTGTTCGCTGATTTGTTTCTGCTGCTCTGAAGTTTTCCGTTTGCATGATCTTAGATCTTGCCTTAAGAGTGATAGTTGGCTGTTGTAACGCTTCATTCCTTGCTTAATTTTACGAATGCGTTTTCTCAAAACCATATTTGATTGTGGGATGGTTTCTACCAAATCTTCGCCCTCCAGTTCATCAGTGGAAACATGACCACTATCTTTCGAAACTTCAGAAGCCAAGGCTGTCGAATCTAGTGATAAATATTTACTTGAACTTGTACCTGAAACAGCAAATAAATAATATAGTACATATTTTTTGAAACGCGAAATTACGTACATTTAACAATTAATGTTAAAACAATTAAAATGAACATAAACCAGTTTTTATAGTGTGGGAGAAAAATATGGAATAAATTTGTTACTTCCAAAACGACAGACTTTCATGATTTTGCCTCAATTATATCGATTTTACATTTCATATACTGCTGCCTTTTCCATGTTCAATTCTAATAACATTAGATTTTTTTATAGAACTTTTGTAACCTGCTCTTTATATAGTTTCTGTGTACTTAGATGAATGACCGCCCGAGAAAACCTGCCGTGTTCAGTATGTCGGTGTATACACAGAAACTATATAAAGCCATTCACTTACCGTCCAATTATCAGACCGATTTAAAAAAGTCAAAAAATCCAATGAACGGTAAAATTGTGATTTATCATCACTGCGAAGAGATCCGGAGTATAGTCATCACCATAGAGCGGACAATTAGTGTCTTTAACCTTGAACATAGATACACTATCCATGACGCAGTGGCGCGTCGGGTACGCATCGGGAATTTACGTGATAATTCACGAAATTCCACAATACATACATTTTTAGGCTTTATAAAATATTTAGAAAATCAGGAATTGTATAACTACGTATTTATTAAAGTTCAGTTAAAAATAGTGTGGTTTTTTTAATTGGAATAGTCCAACTCACGCCCCATTCATAACAAGGCTACAGTTTGAATTCTGATCAATAGGAATTCGATTAACGCAATCGATGTTGACAGATGGACTAGACATGAGCACGAGTGTCATTTCATTTCTTTAGAACTAAACTAACTTAATTATTTTCTCGTTTAACCAGTTCACATGATTTACGGATTTTAAATAAAGGATACAAATCTTCGCGAGGATAATACGATATATTTGCTATACATAATAATTATATTTTGCATGGTTTACACACAATACATTTTTGATGCGTATGCATCTCTACCCGAATTTGACCTAATCTTCTTGTTAAAGACACACATTGTCCGCTCTCTAGTCATCACACACATACAATTGAAAGTAGAAAAAGTGGGGATACATGAAAAAAAAGTCCTCATGTCTGAGGAATTACCATAAATTTCATCATTTCAAAAATAATGAATTCATTCCATTCCTTTCTTGCACTATGTAGTAGCAAATTACAATTCCCATTAGTACCTACAAGCAATGTTCCCTCTAATTTTTTCGCTGACTGCGCGGTGCAAAAGTGTATGGGTGCAAAAAATATTTTTTGCAAAACGTATGTAAAAGTGTGCAAGCAGAATACAAAAACGGCTGCGCAACTTTTAAAAAATTCTAAGCTGAGCACCTGCACAGCTTAGAGGAAACTTTGCTTACAAGTAGTACTACCTACAAGTTTTGCGCAATTTTCATGAGACAATCAGAGAAATTAACAGGAACATGAGACCAGTTGTGAATTTTGCACCACGACATCGCATCGGCGCATACCTCTTCAGGGTTCATAGTTCAAAAGTAATAAAGAATTCCCCGACTTTTCCAGATTTTCCCAAACTTATAAAAAAAATCCAGGTCACTTGTAGTTAATTTTTACATACTAGTTGGTGTTTATGCATTAAATTTTTTTCTCGACTGGACTCTTTTTTTTTTATACCCTAACAACCTCTTATAAAGGTTTCAAAACCACAAATAGTTTTCTCTTTCAAGAATCCAGGGCCGGCTTTCACAAAATTTCCAGTTGCAAATATCAAATTCCCCGACTTTCATGAATATTTTTAAAATTCCCTGACTATTCCCTGTTTTTATGAAGAATAACAAATTCCCTGACTTTTCCCGGTATTCCCGGCCGCTACGACCCCTGCTCTTTGCTTATCCAACAGTTCTTGGCAAAACACAACACCGTTGTGATGTCACAACCAACATTCTATGGATATAACCCCTGTGACTTTTTCCTATATCCTCAAAAGGATACTTAAAGGACGTTTTTCAACAATAAATGAGATAAAGGCAAAATCTCAAACCATGCCATGAAGATGATATCTAAAGAAGAGTGTTTCTTAAACTGTAAACTATGTTAGCATAGTGTACATCACAGGGGGATTAGTTTGAAGGGGACAGGATAAAAATGGAAGATTAAATAAATACTTTTTAAGAAAATTAGCAATTTCCATTACGTTTCGATCAAACCTCGTATAAAAGGCCAAATTTTGCAAAAATTTTGAAAAAACAAGAAAAAACTTCCTGTGCACTAAGGGGTGTAAGTTACAGTGAAGTCTTGTGCTTGGAAGTGTTAGGGAAATGAAATCAAAATAACTGACCCAAATTTCAAAATGCTCAATGGTTTCCAAATTCTGGGGATTTTAGCGGCATTATCTTCTATTATTACAACCACCAATAGATATGATGGCATTGGGTATACAAGAGAAAAGGGGTGTAGTTTGTAAAACCAATGTTAATGGTATATAAATTCCGTGTATTACCTTCAACTGAATTTAAATCACCAGATTAATCATTTACTGTCTATGTCAAAAAAAAAATCTAAAGAATCGCCCCCTTTAATATAAGAACAATTAAAGGACCATCCAGTACATTTCTTACTAATTGTATTATTCAACTTTATTAACCAGATTTAATTAAATAAAAGCGGAATCTGTCAACAAATGTAACAGGTAACAAATTGAAATAATGTTACTTACTTGGGAAGCTTCCAGAAAAATTTAAGAAATCGGCACTGAAATAGGCAATTTCTGGTAAGTTTGGTTCAATTTTTTCTTTAAAATATTCCATAGCCATTGTTGATAAATCAAATAATTCGTCAGTAACTTTATAAGGCAAATCCAGCTTAGGAGTGACCTTAATGTAGTGCAGTATACGATAAACTTCATCAAGAATTTCTCCTGGGAAGAAGCAGCAGTGTTTCCTTTCGATATGCTTTCCAAATGACATTTGCAGTAGCGTTAAACGCATGTGGAGGGTTTCGACGATATCGCTTTCACAAGCAAGATGGTGACTTCGTCTTGCTGATTCGCGTCGTGGCATTTTTGCCTTTATTTCTTGGAATCTTTTTTGCATCTGATTTTGAAGTCGAATAAAAGTGGAATTTAACATTTGTCCACAAATATAATCGATAGTACGGCAAACCTAAAGAAATAGACAATTTTTGCATCAAAAAAACACAAAATAGGTAAAATTTTATAATAATTCAAGTGACTGAATTTTCCAGCTACATGTTTCTGCACTAAATAAAATAAAATGGCTCACATATTTATCCGAGATAAGGGGTATGTTTAATTATGGCTGTAATTTCTCTACTGAAGAATTATGGTAGATACAGTGAACATTAACAAAACACTCAGCTATTAATTTATAAATGGATGATTTAACAGTTCCTCAAGATTGCTGCCTAGATGAACATGTTCTGATGTTCTGTGATGAAATCCTAAATCCAGTTGCATGATCCTTGGCAAAAATTTAAAAATATTTAAGAAAGTTTTTATAAATTGAAGACATAAATAATAATATGAATTATTATTCAAATTCAAAAATAGAAGTAACTTATATGAATAATATGGAGAACAAAAAAATAATATAAGAAATTAGTTTCCAGTCACAGGGTGTCCTGGAAATTATTAGGAAAAAATAACTGGTGGTATCGTTGTTTAATTTTACGGGGTTTCATATTAATCCTAAAAAGATTGTTGAAATTATGTTTTTTGAACATTTTTTTAAAAACAACTATATAATATACATATTTAATTAATACTATATTACCAGAAATTATACACGAATTTTTATTTTTTTTTTTTTTCAGCTAATGCTAACCCTTGTGAATAATTTTATATTTTATTGTTAAATATAATTTATTTCTTAACTTAAAAACTGTTCATAGGTACTTTCATCAAATAATAAAAAGCAACCAAAGTAACCAATTTACAGTTTATATTGTTATAACTATTATTATATAAAAAAAAAAGACAGAAAGACAGCTACCTACTCAAAATTTTTTTCAAATATATTTACTTTTACTCAAAACTAATACTATATGTCTGAGCCAAAATTAATCTTTGTTATTGCAGCCGTTTTTGAAAAAAGTTAAATAATTTCTACCCTTAACTTTATATGAATCACTTATCATATTTAAGATTTATTTTTTTTTTCAACCATTATGGGACACCCTATATATATATATATATATAGAGTGAAGAAGTGAAGACAGTAGTAAACTGTAGTAAATTGTGACTTGTCTGCTTGATATTTTGTCACCTAAACACACTGTTGCATCATTAAAACTAACCAGAAGTTAATTTTTTAAAACATAAATGTACATACAACAAAGTTATTACAAAAAGTAGAGATTTATTTTTATCATATCATATACAGGGTGATTCAGAACTTATCCAAAAAAAAAAAATTCTGGATGTACAGGGGACCCTTACAAATACAATTTTGTAAAGAAAAAATCAAAAAGGTCAGTTCGAAATTGATTTAAAAATACAATTCTGCACGGCACTGGAAACTGGTCCACTGTAAAACCTGACCACGCACAATGCGACCGGTATGGCGGCGTGATAAAAACGGACAAAAACTTTCGCAAGGAAAGAAATATGTAAATAGAATTTTATCGCACCTATTTTATATCTGCAAATTCAAATGCTTTTGCCTTTATTAATGATTAATAAAATTAATTTGTGTTTTTAAGTAATAAAATCATTTGACATACCCGATGCTGCAACAGCAATTCAAAATTTTATCCACTCACGTGTAAACACATTTGGGTCCGTCTTACTCACTTTCTACGAACTAACACAAATGATATCTTGCTTCACCATAACACAAATACTTCACCATAATACAAATGTTGTCTTGCTTCACCATAAATTAAAACGATATCCATCAACTCTGAGTTGCTATACACGCAAGCCATTTTTGACACTAACTACTAAAAAACTGATGTAAATACCACAGATAATAGGTAAAAACTACCGCAACGACGGATTTCAGTATTAGGAGTCACATGGTTCTCCACGCGTATTGTGAATGACGCTAGAGACTACAGTTGTCCATTTCTCATGCCGCATCTATTCCCAAATTTTTTTGGATGTTATGAATCACCCTGTATACAGCGTGTCCCCGGATAGGTATCTCTTGTAAGAGAAAAAAGAAAATTAGTGTTGATATATTCTGGGGTCAGCTTAGTTTGTTTGTGAACAAATTTTGATATGATCAAATATGTATAATAGGCCCATTCAGTAGAATTTTTTTTTTGCATATTCCAAAAGTTTACCCTTAAATTAGTTAGTATGCCAAAAATCAATTTTTTGTTTCAACGAGAAATGTGTGAAATAAATTAATGAAAATAGAGCGCGGAAAAACGTTGAGCAACCAAGCTGAGCCTAACGTCATAATACCAGTACAGGCGATTGGCAGAACACTCCGCTCGCGTTCGCTCTCATCCCATTCTGTGTTAATACATACGGTGTGTGGTTCGCTTGAAAGTTTTGTTAATCATTGTTTTTATGTCTAAATGGGTCGAAACCGAGGATTGTACAAATATTGTATAGTTCCAGGCTGCAAAAGTACCTCAGGATCGACTCCGAATAAAATATTTATTTCATTACCAAAAAATGAAAAGTTTATGTGATGTTTTCCACAGTTTCCACAGCCATGCTATGCAACTCAAAACCACCTTCGTTTTTCTGTGGTTGCACGTCTAGGAGGTTGTAAAATATTATTATTTGAACATTTAGAGTACAATTTTCAACTTATGCCGGAAAAAAATTCTACCCCATCTAAATGTTCGTGTTCACAAAAAATTCGAAATACGTCAGCGAGAGGGACCTATAAGCAGTTAAGAACTATTCCCTTTTTTCTTTGGTTGCCCGTCTAGGGGGTTGTAAATACTATTATTTCAACATTTAGAGCAGAATTTTAAAATTTATGCGAAAAAAAAATTTCTACCCCATCTAAACGTACCCGTTCACAAAAATTTCGAAATACGTCGGCGAGAGGGACCTATAAGCAACTCAGAACCACCCTCGTTTTTCTTTGGTTGCCCGTCTAGGGGGTTTTACATATTTCAAATTTATGCCGAAAAAAAAAATTTCTACCCCATCTAAACGTTCCCATCCACAAAAATTTCGAAATACGTGGCGAGAGGGACCTATAAGCAATTTATTTAAATAATAATATTTTACAACCCCCTAGAAGGGCAACCAAAGAAAAACAAGGGTGGTTCTGACTTGCTTCAAATACTAGTCAAAGTACTACTGGCACATACACGTCATCGCATACATCCACAAGCACCGAGCCTAGTACGTTGCGTACATTTGTATAAAAATGTAACGCAAAAGAAAATGTAGAAAAGCGAACCATATACGTCATTGGGAAAAATCTGAATATGTATTTAGGTATTCCAAGTCATTCTATGTTTATAATAAATGTTGTGTGAAAAATGCATTTCAACAAGACTTGATGTATATCTCTTATACACTCTTTATTTATACACTTAAAAATATAGGTATATAATATAGGTAAAAGTATAGCAAATGTCTACACATCTCTCCGATTGCTCGCGACTTGATCGCTGAGTGGCCGGTATCGTGACGTCATTACCTGTTCTCCCGCAGTGTTGACCTTTTTAAGGGTCTTACAAATTCAGAATTAAATATATCACTTATTATTAACCCTATTGACCAAATTTTTTGAAGATAAATTTAGGTGATTAAATACTATCAGAAAATGAAAGAAAAAGTTTAAAATTATATATCACTGAATGGGCCTATTCAGTATGCCTGAAAGTATTCAATTTATTTTAGTCCCCTTTCTGTGAGACAGATGACAAAATCTTATAGTAAGAAAGCTTTTTTGAGGATGAAAAGCTAATTAAGTATGCAAAATGTCGACATTAGGGCTACTTTGATTTTTTGTTTGATTTCAGAATTTTTTTTCATTAGTGGGCACTCCTTTGACAAATTTCAATGTGAAATTATTAAGTTACTAAATTTTACCAGGACATTGAAATTTGGAAAAGCCTCTTCTACTAGCAAAATCTGAAATTAAATGTAAAGAAAAAAAGTTAAAGTAGGTCTAAGACAGTAATTACTTAGTTTTTTATGCTGAGAAACTTGATAACATTTTATCATATCTCATACAGAAAGGGAACTTTACTAGTGAAAAATTAAGGTATTTATAAATTTCTAAAACTTAGTGGACTTTGTGAATTTGAAATTATAACACATTTTGTTTCACAAACAAGAAGAACTGAATCCCAGTAATCAATATTCCAAAACTAACTTTTTTGCCTCTTACAAGTCGTTTCACCCATCCATAGACCCTTTGTATCTAAAAAGAAACTCATTTCACGCACATGGACATAAATAAAAATTTCAAGTATTTAGTTTACTCAACAGTGGAGTTCGGTTATAACAATCAAGGGACAGAGAAATAAGTGTTGCTCTAAACCAAGGGGCGGCAACTGGCGGACCGCGGCTCAGGTCCGAACCGCGAAAGGTAAAATACTGGACCGCCAAAAATTGTTTGAAAGTATAAATTACTCAAATAAATTATTTAAAAAATGATTTCTACGTTTAAGTGCCAATCTTATCATTTTTTCTAGTATTTTACAATTGTGTGAGTGTTTTGAGTTCTTAATTAGTAAGCAGATTAAATTTGTGTCCAAATTGAAATAAAAAAATAAGAAATATGAGTTTTTTTTCTGGACCTCGTTAAAAATTTTCAAAAGTATCCGGACCCCACCTAAAATTACTTGCCGACCCCTGCCCTAAACTAACAATGTAGTAAGCAAAATCCGAGGGGGAATACTTACTTTCATAATTAACCAAAAATTGAAAGGAGTCAGGGTGATGGAAAGAGATGACACATGTGTGCATCATACATGTGACGTAAATATTTCATATTTTTTCAATACTCAAATACTACTCAGTATCCTACATGTTCAAATTTTAAAGCACTACACACATTGGAGGATATTCTAGCAGACTGTTTAATTTCTTCAGACATAATTTTTTGCCTAGGTGACCTCAATATAAATTATTTAGATGCACACAGTCAAGGACATATTTTTTTGGGCTCAGTTTTTTCTAATTCTTTTAATTTAAGTCAAATTATATCAAAGCCTACCAGCGTAACATCTCATAGCGAAAATTTATTACATTATATATCGTCAAATTCTCCTGAATTAGTTATGAATTCTAATGTTATAGAGTTGCCCCAATTTAATAGTGACCATCGGTTGGTGTACTGTCTAATAAATTTACCCATATGTAGAAAACAATCGCCCCAGTATATTTACTGTAGAAATATTAAAATAATAAATATGTTACAATTTGAAACATCTGCAAGGAGATTTAACTGGAATCCTGTGTTTTCTGATAATGACATTGAGGGGAAAGTTCAGTATTTAGAAAATGGAGTTTTAACTTTATTTAATATTCATGCCCCTATAAGAAAAATCAGAGTCACAAAAAAATTTAATCCTTGGGTTACTTCTAACATTAAACACATGATGCGCTTACGAGATAACACTCTATCTGAGTATCGTAAATCTTTGAAAAATCTTTGAAATACTACCATGTATTATTATGTATATTTTCAAGTTGGGCATAAGCAGCTTTAGCTGAGCCCCGCCTTAATAAAGACATATTATTATTATTATTCAAAGTGTGTATACTAAATTATTCCTGCGGTTTCCCATCGGCAAAATCAAAATTATGTACAGAAATATTCATGTAAAATTCTGCCTCATTCATATTTTTTTAATTTCATATTTCATACAAAAAATTATAGGACTGAAGTTTAAACATTTTTTTTATGATATCAATGTACTGCTTTGAAATCATAATCATCTTATTATCACAAAAACACTTCCTACGACCATACCGTTTATAAAGTAAGAATTTTCAATTTTTACAAATTTTAGTGTTTCTTATTCACAAACTGTTTTTATTATAAACTAGCGAACCCGACAAACGTTGTCCTGTTCAAACGTTAAATTTATTAAAAAAACATTATCTATCGAATCGAATTGTGAATCTAAACCATTCTCGAATCCACTTGAACACACACAAAAAATTTCATCAAAATCGGTCCAGCCATTTAGGAGGAGTTCAGTGACATACACACGCACAGAAGAATTATATATATAAAGAATATAATTATTGTATTTCATCCCCTTGGCTTTTCAAAAATTATTTGCAATAGTATTTCATCAGGTCAGCATCGACTTGATGTTGACAACCCTAAAGCTATTATGTGCCATGTGAGTTAGGATAGGTTGGGTTTTGATAATTTTATATAAATACAGGATCACAGTATCCAAAACACTAAACAGCAGTATTCACAAATTAACTGTACTTGTTATGAACATACTGAAATTCTTATATTTTCTGTATAAAATCAACCTTCTGGGTAGAAGTTCATCACATTATGTAGTCTGTCAATAGCAGAACAGAATCTTAAAAACCAAACTCCACTGTGTGTCTCATGAAATATTTATCGATGTAGAAAAAGAGTATCGGTATACAGGGTGTTCCAGATAGACCTTCAATTAGACGTTTCTGGAAAACTATGCGTACTGGAATTCTGAAAATTTATGTACGGGAGTTTCTCCTAATGTTCTATCGATTGAAAATATTGGCGTCGTCGTGGAACTTCCGGTTCTACCGGAAGTAGACGTAAACTCGCTTATTTCAAATGGAATGTACTATTTTTTATTTAATTTTTGGATTCTACATCG